CTTCTTTCTTCTCCAGAAAACAACCAGATTCTGTTATTAACAGTTCACAGAGTCCAGGAAAAGGCAAAGAGAAACATGTCCCAGCCAAGCTGCATTCACAAAACTCGCGTCTCTTAAATCCTGTCCGGCCGTATTAGCATCTAGGATTCTTTTCCAGAAACATAAGATTTATTTTTCCGTCTCACTCTCTCGGCTTTGAAACCAGCCTGTTATATTAAGAGTTCACTTGGGGAGGAGCGTTAGTTTCGCTTTTGAGGCAGACTGATAAGATAGGTTCGCCGCTGCTTTTCTTCTTTCAGCCAAATATTTTCATTCTTATTTTCAGCTTAATGGGGCTGTTTCATAAATCAAAGGCTTCAGCTTACTTAGTTGTTATATATTTTAAGGTTATATTGGTTGTTCTCCTCTCCCTCGATAAAGGGTTACTCACAGCTCCGTGCCAAACATGGCTCCCGCTCCAATCCGTGCTAGGTGATTTCTTCACAGGGAAGAAGTCTGGGTTTGCCTCCCATTCTTCTTCTCCTTCTGCTGCTCACCATCTGCTTCAGAGAGACTTCTCCTAGACTCTCCTTCGATCCCCATTTCAAAAGGGGGATCCCGGACCAGATGGTTCCAGTTTTTCCAGAGAGAGCTCTTCTCTGGAGCTACTGGCAGCACCGCAACAAAGCCCCGCCTCCTACAAATATTGTGTCTTAGACCTCTTGTTTTCTTGTCCTCCCATCTCTAAAGAGCCTTCTCCCACTCACTGGTGAAGCTGTTCGTTCACATAACTGGGCAGGGCCAACCACCATCTCTGTGGTATTGAACACTCACTCTTCATGTGGCCAGGATAAACTGAAAATGGGTACCTCTTCTTTGAGCATCAGTCCCTACCTAGTCTTCATGGCAATATTCACCCATCAAAATTCAAGGTCCTTCCTTATTTTAGACCCAATCTTTACATTATAGATAACTTGTTATGCTGTTTGCATTCTGTAGACTTAACAAAATGACACGATTTTGACCAATGAGTAGAATTTAATGGCAGCAAAGAAAACTAGAGATGAAAAGAAAGGCGAACTCTCAGTGGCTTTTTTTTTAAAAAATGCTTTTTTTCCTGATGAACAGATTTTCCATCCATCTCTGGGTACGAGATATAAGAGCTCTGTACAATCATGCAGGCAATTGTTGCTGTGGTGGGTGGAGAAGTCCTATGAGATTTAGTAAATTGGGGTAGAAAATTAAAGCTTTCAAAAGTTTCTTTTTTTTTTTTTCGCTACATGTTCATTGAAAAAGAATGCATTGTAAGATAGAGTTTGAGAAATACTATAGAGCTGTGCTTCCCAACCCTGAGTACGCGGATGTCCTTGGACTACAACTCCCAGAAACCCTGGCCAGCATAACTAGTGGTAAAGGTTTCTGGGAGTTTTAGTCCAAGAACTGTTGCTCTAGAAGTAAACTTTGTTTGGTGACAAACTTTGTCTCATGAAACGTGACATCATCTTTAAACACCATTTATTATCTAGATCACAAAGTTCAGTGCTGTGAAATGTAATGCAAGATGCATCATGGCATGATTACCAAGGGCAGGTTGTCTAAATTGGTTTTTGCCTAACCACTTCACATACTCTGGAGAGTGGGCTGAAGCCACTTAAGGCTGAAATTGATTTCTCCCTCTGACTTGTCTCTTATGATCTCCCATTTAGAATGCAGGGCAGGGACATCGGTAGCTAATAGTCTGTGAAATTAGACTATGGCAAGGCTGACGCTGAAACCCATTCCTCTTAGGTGTCACCATGATTAGGAAAAGATCTTTTGAGTCTAACAAGGCAATTTACTGGCTACTAATGAAAAAGTTTTCAAAAGATGGGTGCTTTGTGTGTTTTATATATTTGAGAGTGTTTTTAACTTTTAACTAAAAATGTTTTAATATTACAGATTGTTGAATTACATTTTGATAAGATTAAACTTTCCTGTATTTTTAGTGATGCTAGGTGCCAGCAAGTCACAATCAACTTACAGTGGTTTTGCTGGGGTTTTCAAGGTACAGTGGTGCCTCACTAGACAGTTACCCCGCATGACAGTTTTTCGCTAGACATTGACTTTTTGTGATCGCTATAGCGATTCGCAAAACAGTTATTCCTATGGGGGAATTTCTCTGGACAATGTTTGGTCCCTGCTTCGCAAACCGATTTTCGCTAGAAGACAATTTTGACAGCTCCCTCCATGCTCCCAAAACAGGTGTTTTCGGAACCTAAGCTTCGCAAGACAGTGATTTAAACAGCTGATCAGCGGTTCGCAAAGCGACTTTCCTATGGCCGATCTTCGCTAGACAACGACGATTCTTCCCCATTGGAAAGCATTAAACAGGTTTCAATGCATTCCAGTGGGGAAATGCTTTTCGCTAGACAATGATTTCGCTAAACAGCAATTTCAGTGGAACGCATTATCATCGTCTAGTGAGGCACCACTGTATGTGAGATATTTCAGGAGTGGCTTTACCTTTATCACCCCAGGGTGAACTTCCATAGCTGAGTGGGAATTCAATCCAGGTTATCTTAGTCTGTCATTCTATGCATAACATCACACTGGCAGCTTTATAGGTTATTTATTTATTTGAATTTATCATGAGCCACTGTGCATTTGGTGTATTTTGGATTTTTTAAAAAAAAATACTGCATAATTTGTAGCATGATTAAAACACACACAGAGAGAGAGAGAGAGAGAGAGAGAGAGAGAGAGAGAGAGAGAGTTGTCCTCAAACCTTTTAAAAGAGATTGAGGCGCCATTTTTCTAGGGCTTCTACTCTGCTTGTACAACACAGCCTTTTCCCTACCATGGCTACAATATGTAATCTCTCCCTCGGGAGATCACGATGGCCCCTTCCCTTTTATCCTTCTGAAAAAAGCTAAAGACTCATCTTTTCAGGCAGGCTTTTAACAGTTACAACTGAACCCCATTTTAGGAGAGAATTTTAATCTTTGCCATGTTTCAATGTTTTAATCTTTTAATTTTATTTTAAATCATATATTGTTTAATTTGTCTTTTAATGTTTAACTTAACTGTGTTTATAATTGTGTGAATTTTAATATTGTGAGCTGCTTTGGGTCCCTTGTTGGGAGAAAAGTGGCATATAAATTAAACTAGAACTAATCATTATCATCATCTGTTGGAAAACTGTTCTAGTCTACCTTGACTTTGCACTGACCTATGGAGGTAAATCAGGAGTGCAACTGAGTGGGCTATGCCCAATCTTGGCTATCTCAAGTGAGTTCCTCCTTAAATATCTAACTCTTGTTTGATGTCTTCTAAAAAAGTTATTCTGGACAGTTTTATTTCATAAAATTTTTAACCAGTGCTTGTTCAAATTGACATGGGTAGATATGATTTTGCTAATTTAAAATCTTTTTCTTACTGACTTCAGCCTTATCCAGCCCAAATAGTGACATTCTGGGCACTGAATTGATGCAAGCTAAAAAGTCAGGATAGACCTTCTTTGTTCCATGCTGAATTGTGCAACTTGGGATGCAGCAGATAATGTCTCCCATTGACTTTACAATTTACAGCAATTCACCATCCAAAGTGAAGTTATTTACGTTACACCAGCAGTAGGATTTGGGCCAATGGCCCTACATAAGGCATTGAACTTAGCAGTGAGTCTATTCCAGTTGGGACATACAGTACAACTGGAATTAACCAATTGTCTTAAAGATTTTATTCTCTTATTACTACAAGTTTGTTGTTAGAAGTTTTATATTCTTTCATAATATAGAAACTCAAAAAGCATTACTGTGATGTGATATATTTAAAATGTTTTTAAAGGAAGAACCACACACTTTATTTAAAAAGTATACAGTGGCCTTCCGTGTTCCTTTCAGGGCTATACTTAGAGCATAGCAAAGGGGGCTTTGTCCCTGGGCACCAATATTTAGATGGCATTGAACTCTAGCAATGAATTTACTGATGAATGTTAGGAAAATAAACATTCTGATCCCACCCCTTTTCCTCTTTTTTTTTAAAAAAAATAAATATAACATATATTTTCCAGAAAGCATCATGTTCTTGATAGCTGGTAAAGGTTACGATCTGATTCTCCTACCAAATCCTCTGAGCCAACAACCCAGACAACTGGTTGGAGAGATTTTTACATTTTAATAAAAGAAGTAAAAGGTGAAAAGACAAAAGGCAAAAGTTCTAAAAATGAATTCAAAACCCTACTTGGAGCAAAATACAGAGAGAATCTAATGCAATGCAAGAGTTCACACCTGAAACAATAAATCTAACTAATCTATCTGTTACTCAGGCCTTACTTGGTGTAGTTTCAAGACATGTACAGAATGCATCCTTCTAAGCTCAGATAGGAGTTGGAGAAAGCTTTTTGAACTGAGTCTAACTGCGCACATGGGGCAGCAGAAAAGACCATGACAGGAACCCAAGAGCTTCTGAACATCCAACAGGAACCGCTTCTTCTCTTGCTTGTGTCTTGCACAGACCCAGAGCTTTGAAAAGGTGCCCCCCCCCCAGTTACAACTCCCAGTGGCCTTGCTTGCTAGGGGTTTCTGGGAACTTTAGTCCAAATGCGTAACTTTTCCAAGCGTTGCTCAGACTACTGTTGAGGGCCAAAAGTAGGCAAATGGAAAACTGGAAGGATTGCAATGCTTAGCCCTGAGAAAGCATGGCCTTCCTTCCTAACTTTGGTCAGCCAACGCCCCCCCCCCCTTGATGGATGGAGAAGTCAAGTTCAGGGGCTGAGGAAAGGAGAGTCAAATTTGTGTGTGGCCCAGAAGGACAGTTTTCTTTCCACCCAGACCAAGATGAAGCAGGGAAGGCATCTCCTCAGACAGCAGTAAGTGGCTTTGTGACGTAGCAGGCCACTCTGATGTCACTGCCAACTCAGGCCTCTCAGAATGCCCACCACACCACTTCACACTCGCTGCCACCAATTATAATGACCATTTAAGAAGGACAAAGGTTTCCTTCAAAACAAAACAGGTTTATTGAAATAACAAAATAAAATATGATAATCACAATTAGCTAATCAAGATGTCAATCACTGTACAGTATATTATTTAATCAGTCACAGACTTCCCTCACTGACCACTTAGGCACGCAAGCCTCTAAACAAGCTTTCTCTCACAAACACTCCTGATCTGATTTCCCACACTCTCTTCACACCCCTTTTTCTTCCAGCTCCTCCCTCTTCAGCCCCACCCTCCGTCACCCCATTGGCTGATGATTCACTGCCCAGCTGTGACGGACAGGTGAGGTCAGGGCTGCCTGTTACAGGCTTCTGAGGCTGGACCTCTGTAGTTACTTCTTTTTCCACTGGCAGGCCTGGTGACTCCTCCTACTCTCAAGCAGACTGGATTTTCCAATATGTCTGTACAGTATTTAAAATCTAGCCCAGCCAAGAAGTTCCACATTGCCTGCTCAAAGTAGCATTCTCCCATTTCTTTTCTTCCCAGGCTTGTGCTTGCTTTAGCAGCCCCACATGAAAGAAAATGCAACCCAAATTATATCGGTCATACAGACATTACGGAATATTTTCTGAAGAGAAGTCTCAATTATTTCCCTCTGATCCAGAGAGAAGTGGGAAGTGGGGATTTTATGCTTGCAAATGCAAGTTTGGGCTTCACATGGAATTATATCTGGCCTATTTGCTAGCCTATCTTTGGCCAGGATGTTTGTGATATAAGCAATAGCTTTGCCTGTGACCACTTTCATAAGGCAATTGTTTCTCTCTGTACTTCCTCCACCTCAATTTCTACAAGTTTCACCTATCTGCTCTCTCTCTGTGTGTATGATAGACACTGATGAAGTGCGCTATGGGCTTATGCTATAATAAATGTACAGTATTAGATTCAAGGTGTTACAGGATTCTTTTATATCTCCTGCAACAGATAAACACAGCAGTCATTTTGGAAATTGAATGTTTTAGTTTCTTTATCTCAGCCAATGAGCTTTTGTGCACCCCTTATGGTTGATGCATATTCAGCAATCTATAGTTTTACAGAGATTGGATTCTAGGTCAGGACCAATGTGTGCAAGTCTTAAGAGAGTAAGAGAAAGTACTGAGTAGGTTATAGCTCAGCTCCTTGGAAAATGTTCAGCAAAACCTATTTGGGGAATATCAGGTAGCTTCTCAACTGCAATCACAAACTCAGTGGGACTTCGAAGCCATGCACACAAAAATTGTGAGGCTGGAGAGCAATTCACAGGATAAATAAAATACATCCATTGCTAAGAGTTACTTGGCTCAGCTCCATCCATTACCAGTACAACTTTATTGCTAAAAGAAACCAGAAAAGTAAAGATTTGATAAACCAATTATGTTTGAAAGTGTTACTTCTAAACTTCACCGCATTCAAAGGGCAAGCTCCCTTAACATCCTGCTGTAAAGAACTGTGTTCTCAGTTCACAACTTCGGCTTATTAAAGGTCTCTGAGCCACTTTGTCCAGCTTTATGTGATCAAATCCCTTTGGGCTTCAGTTGTTTTGCTTTAGTCAGCTCTACAAACTAGCTGACACAGAGCCAATATGATTCTCTTGTACTCCTTCCTGAAATTGTGATTCAGGGCCCCATATATCACAGCATTCAAACAGCTATTAAAATACGCCATAAAGTAGCTGGCTGTGAAGAGCCATTCTGGTATAGAAGAATCCAGCGTTGGCTTCAGTGCCACCACAAAACCAATGAAGTTGAGTGGTGCCCAACAAATGGCAAAGAGTACAAAGACCATAAACATGGTCAAGAAGTTCCGGAAGTCATGTGGCTTTATTCTGGGTCGCACATCTGGCCTGACTCGCCGCCGCACTTGAAGCACCAGCACCCAGATCCTCAGGTAACAGTAGCTAACGATAGCGATGGGCAGAAAGAAATGGACCACCACCACCAGGATGGTATAAAGGGAGCTGACGGATTGGGCAAAAGTACACGAAAAGACCCGTGGGTCATATTTCAGGGAGTCCACAAAGAGGTTGGGCATGATGGCGAGGAAGGTGAGGGCCCAAACCAGACCCACGTAGCAGAAGGTGTTGTTGAGAGAGAAGACGCTGTCATACTTCAGGCTGTGGCAAATGTAGCAGTAGCGGTTAAGAGCGATGCCTGTGATGTTGAAGATGGAGCCAATGACACTCAGGCCCATCAGGAACCCACTGACCTGACAGTGGAGGTAGCCCATGACCCAATCATTGTGGAAAATGGCAATCAGGGCCAATGGGTAGGGGTAGAACGCGACCAGCAAGTCCGCAACAGCCAGGCTGACCACAAAGGCATTTCCTAGGAGTCAAACACGGAAAAATTAAAGGCATCTGAAAGGTAACAGTTGCTGAGTGCCACTTCTCACCCACCCCAAACAACAACAACTGGTTACTACAAATTCTACAATTATACCTCTTGACTATATCTCAAGTAACTTTATTACACTCTGCAGTTTATACCCTTTAATTCATCTCTCCACAGAAATGGTGAAAAAGGAAAATCCATTCTGAGAAAAGTCATAGGTGAGCCTTCCACAAGATAGCTGTCTCCAGATACCAAGAAGCGATTTCGCTAAGTTGAAGGGAAAGGAAAAAAACGAAGAGAGCCCCCATCCCCCCCCCAGTTCTCATGAGAAGCTTTTATGCAGCTTTCATCCAGCCACTAGTCCACAAAGCCAATGATGGAAATGTCATATAACTCGTCCCTGAAACGTCTTGTCTTCCTTTTCTCTTTTCCTCAACTTTTCTTTTTCTGCTGTATCTTTTTAGATTGTCAGCCTGAGTACAGAAGTATCTTCTCTTTCTAAAAATGGATATGCAAGCTAAGCTGGGGGCCTTTCCAATAGTAGTGAGGGGCATAAATGCTACAGAGAGAGAGAATGAAATGCAGGAAGACTTAAAAAACAAACAGGGACAATTACATCATCTGCCACTTACCTCAACTTAGCTGCAATTTTCACAGTTGGGTGGCAGTGAAATTCCCAAGCAATAATATATTGTTTTGAGCTATCTTGTTGTAGTGCAAAATATTTTTGGGTGGCTAGATCTGGAACTGGCAATTAAGATCCATAATCTTTACAAAAGACCAGCAGCTAGAAGATGGAAAAATTGTTAGAACTGGCCTGCTAACATTGACATGAAATGTTGCTTCCTGCTGAGAAAATTGCAAATTGATAAGAGACTACACTTTAAAATGGAGCACTATAGCATTGATCCTTTATGTTGTGGGAAGGAGGCTTGTGTCATCAGAAACTTCTGACTATGGTTTGCTGTGTCATCTGAAAATGGTAAAGTGGTTTATGCAATCACCGATAGCTTTCAACCTAGGTTTTGAAACTAGAGTTTGATTGTTATGCATACCTAGAATGAACGAAAATAGAGGTGATTTTTTTAAAAAGAAAGCAAAGTGTGAAATAGTATTGTAACTTCTGTACTTTGGCCATGCACCAATGACACCTCTCTGTGGCGGCAGCTGAAGACAAAGAATGGGGAACATGTGATGACCCAGACGATATTGAATGAAGGGAGCTAATATTGAACAACATCTGGAAGAGCACATGTTCCCCATTGCGATTTAGCAGAGAACTCACTGTGGATTTCAAAGGGAAAAGCAGTGTGTGTGTGTGTTTTTATCACAGGAATTATATGCCAAAACTAACCTACTTTTCCTCCTGCAAATTATCTGATTGTGATGTTGTGTAAGCCAGGTTCTCTTTGAAAAGCCAGCCCATCTGGCAAAGTGATTCCTGCACAAAAGCTTTGCCTGAAGCCATCTGTAGTGCAGTCAGACAAAAACATTGCACATCCTTCCTCCTTAAGAATTTTCCATTGAGAAAGGAAAAAAAAAAGACAGAAGGAATTGTTGGAAACTATGAAAGGTGACATGACCTGGAGCTTCACAGAGTTCTTTCTTTGAAAGAGGGTGGCTGGTCTGGTCCACGAGCAAACAATCTGTGGAGTAATGGCAAGAAACACATTGCAAATCCAACTTGGGCCTGTCGCTTTGGCGCCCCCAGGTAAAAACTGCCTTCTCTAGATGTGAAAACTGATTCGTTTAAGTATAGACAAGAAACATTATTGCCACAATGCTCCCGCATTTGGGGCTTCCTAGGACTGGCTAGAAGATGGTTCAGCCCAGCAGCTGCTTCTCCCGCTAGCATTTAAAGTTGGATTTACAAAACAGATCTAACATGACACTTCCTATAATGGGCTTGCCAATGGTAGCAAAAGGACAGAAGGGACAATAGAGTGGAAGCATCCAAAGGTGGGTAGCATTGGTCTGTAGGACAAAGCTGAGGAATCCTCATTATATTTTGAATTTCAGCTCCCATGTTCCTTTACTGCTGGCCAAAGTATGTGGTGGGACAAACATTTCCTGTTTCTAGTGAAGTAGGTGCCATAAATGTTGCTGTTGTTTAGTCGTTAAATCATGTCCAACTCTTTGTGACCCCATGGACCAGAGCACGCCAGGCCCTCCTGTCTTCCACTGCCTCCCGGAGTTTGGTCAAATTCATGTTGGTCGCTTGGATGACACTGTCCAACCATCTCGTCCTCTGGCGTCCCCTTCTCCTCTTGCTTTCACACTTTCCCAACATCAGGGTCTTTTCCAGGGAGTCTTCTCTTCTCATCAGATTGGAGCCTCAGCTTCAGGATTGGAGCCTCAGCTTCAGGATCGGTCCTTCCAGTGAGCACTCAGGGTTGATTTCCTTCAAAGCCTCTGGAGTAAATGTACTCTCCTCCATAACAGGGTCCGAGGCAGTGAGGCAAAAAAAAAAAAAAAAGGGAGCATGGAGATGTGTTGTATAGTTTTTGGTTGACTTATGGAGATTGATTTCCATGAAACTTTCTAAAACATGTTTGGATAGTATTGCAAAAGTCCAAGAGGAGATGGGCAATACCCCAATATAGACTGGGTATAATCTCAATTGTAAAATGGAATGTCAAACCTCACCATGAGCTGTGGAGATAAAATGGAATCTCAGTATCCCTCTCCATTAACTATGCTGACTGGAGATGGTGGGAACTGAACTCAATAATATTTGGAAGCCACCAGTTTTCCCTTCCTCTCTTATTACCACAAACCGGAAATGAACTCTAAACTATGGTTCAGTACAGAAGTACCCAATTTCTTTAACTTCCTCCCTAAAGTTACAGACTAGTGGAGATATACTCCTAGACTAGATGAAGCCATGTGTCTGATTATTAGGGATATGCCACTGGGGTTTTTATTTTGGCCTCCAAATCCCAGAATTCTCTGTTCTGGGAGCTCCACCTGCCAGACACCTGAATTGTGATCACCTGAAAAGAAGCCAGGCTGGAAGGCTTCATGGTCTAGGATAGGCTGATTTCTGGCTTGGCTTTCTGTTAGAAAAGGAAGTTGCATGCTTGCTGGGAACATAGAGGCCTATGATTGGGCAAAAATGGTTCAGTCAAAGGAGAAACAAACAAACAAAAGAAAAAAGTGGGAGTCACTGACAGCTATAAGTCTGAACTCCTCGTTGAAAAGAAGCCAGGCTGGAAGGCTTCGTGGTCTAGGATAGGCTGATTTCTGGCTTGGCTTTCTGTTAGAAAAGGAAGTTGCATGCTTGCTGGGAACATAGAGGCCTATGATTGGGCAAAAATGGTTCAGTCAAAGGAGAAACAAACAAACAAAAGAAAAAAGTGGGAGTCACTGACAGCTATAAGTCTGAACTCCTCGTTAGAAGCCCCCTAGTGCCTAATGGCCAAAGCCTGCGAAATGTTACCCTTTTGGACTACAACTCCCACCACCCACCATATTGGTGAGCTCTGAGAGGTGTTATTCTAAATTCTGGTAATGGATAGGGTTTAATCTGGGGTTTAATCATTTTGTAAGATTTTTAGATGTGGTGACCAACATATCTTCTCGACATTCCTGCAATAAGAGAGATACACCTGTCTAGTTCTCAGCCATTCTTAACCAGTTTTTAGCAGAGTGCAGCTCCAGTTGAAACAGACAGGCGCCTGCTTCTGTGTACCGTAGTACTACCTCTTCCGTGTTCAGTAGTACTGCAGGTTCCCATGTTGCCATCAATATTGTGATATTGTGAGGTTCAGCTCTTCTGTCACTGAAATCACATAAGAGTAATCACATAATAGAACCAGTTCCTCAGATTGGAGGATATCTAGCAGTGCTAGAGTATCCTATTATTCCAGTGGAGAAGTATTACAATGAGCGTATTGGTCTTATTACCAATACTTAGTACTGTAGCCCAGCCAGATGGAGACTTGCTTTATGATTTAAAAAACAAAACAAAACATTCTTATCCACACTCTGCCATGAGGGTATTAGTGAACAGTTTATCTCTGGAGACATTGCTGCTCCAATAGCTCAATGGCTTAGGTCAGAGGTTGGGAGTTCGATTCCCCACTAAGCCTCCTTGAGAGGGGCTGGACTCAATGACCTAGCTCTGCAGTTCTGAGATTATTATACAGTGGACCCTCTACTTATGGAATTCATCCGTATTGGAACAGTGGCTGCAAGTCGAAAAGTCTGTAGGTCGAATCTCCACTGACCTACAATGCATTGAAAACCGATTAATCCCATAACTGGCAGTTTTTATTCTATTTTTGTTCCATTTTGGTTTTTTCCTGGTCTGTAAGTCGATTCTCCGGCTGCAAGTCGAATCTAAATTTTGCAGCCAGAGAAGTCTGTAACTCGAAAAGTCTGTAAGTCGAGCCGTCTGTAAGTCGAGGGTCCACTGTATACAAAATTCCTGCAAGGAAACCACACAGTTCTCCAGTTTGATGTGTGAATCTCCCTGGATGAAATGAGGTTGATGGCTTCGGAAGCCACACTGTGAAGACTTGGTAGAACTAGGATTGTAACCTAGTTTCCAGAACTTTACACTGGACTCTTCCAAGAATTTAGATGGAAGAATGAGTGAGGAAGTCAGACCTCTAAATGTCTTGTTTTTGGTTACCCAAACCTGCAGTCAAAGCTCAGGAGCTTCATTCAGCTTGAGATCCCAAGGCCCCAGTAAAAACACACTTAATGCAAGACAGTATTACGTATAAAGCCCTAAACAGTTTAGGGCCTTGATACTTGGCGGAACACCTACTCCCACCTATCTCTACCCGTATCACTCGATCGACTCAGGAGGTGAGGCTGAGGAGCTTGACGCCGAGGGAGGCCCAGAAGGAAAAAACAAGAAACCAGGCCTTCTCGGCAGTAGATCCTCGCCCCTGGAATAACCTTCCTCCGGAGATTCGTGTGGCCCCTTCGCTGGGCATCTTTAAAAACCAACTGAAAATTTGGATGTTTGTGCAGGCCTTCCCTCCAGCTAATGCTTTATTTTTTCCCCCTTTTTCTTTTTTATACTTTCTTTTTTCCCTTCTTTCATCTTGATTAATTTCTTTATTGATGTTTAAACTTTGTTATATTTTATATATGGTTATTTATGTTGGTAGCCGCCTAGAGTGGTCGTTTGACCAGACAGGTGGGATATAAATACAATAAATAAATAAACAAACAAATAGGCAGGTGAGGGAAATGGCATTGTGTCAAAATGAATTCATTCTTCACTTCAAAGAACACCTTTGGAAAGAATATGATTACATACATTGTCTGGTTTGATCCAAAGAACCACCAGGAAGTGTCATTTGGGAAGAGGCCATTGGCATCAGTGTTTAATGTCTTGGGTTACCAAAATCAGAGCAGCCACTTTCTAAGCGATTTAAGAGGATCTGCCTGTTGATTAATTTGACTACTAACATAGAATTGATAGGATAGGCTTACTGCTCCATATGTAGTGCTAAATCCAACTGTTAGTCCCAAACAGAGTAGATCCACTGAAAGAACTGAGATTTAGATTAATACTTCTCACATATTCAGTGAGTTTACTCCCAACAATTGGATTAGTAAATCTTAATTTGACTAACCAGAGAACTTTCCTTGCCCACGTGCATTGTGTACAAATCACTTATACACTGGCTAAAATCCTGTTGCTTAGCATAAGAAACATTCTTGTCACTTTCAGTCTGTTCCTGGCGGTCAGACAGAAAGTAGCAGCTACAATGTTCAGGGTTCAATGCAACCCCTCATGAATCATGGTGAGGATTGTGTTTGCTAGTTAAGAATGGAGTGAAAGTTTCGAATTTTCCTTAGGCTAATTAACAGCATTTCAGCTATTATCTGTTTTTTGGCACTTTGCATCAGAAACACTCCCAAGCACTTCTATTCTCTGTGATGTCTAGGGTCCTATAAAACAGCAGCAGTAGAATCCAGGATGTTTATCCCCAAATGGGAGTTCTATGGCCAACAGTAGAGGTTGCTCATCGAAAATTTCAACAGACTAAAAGACTGCTTGTTCTTAAACCCTTTCCTGATCAAGTACTTACTTATTTAAAGGAGGGAACGAAGGAAGAGGAGGTTGCATCACTGGCAATATCCTTGAGCTGGAAATCTTCAGTAAAGTTTCCTACTTGAAAACCAACATGTGATAAATTCAAACTCCTTGAAGGATCTGAGAGGGTGTGCTTGAGAATTATTGGCCAAGATTACAACTGTGAAAGCAAATGAGGACTGCCATTTGAGGTCAGAGACAGCTCACATGATGTTTATGATGTCTTATTTGCAGCTTCTTCTCATCTTCTGACCAGAATTTGGAGGCATTCCCCCTACCTGCTCTTTTTTTAACTACTGATGAATTCAATGAGTTGAAGTTTTTTTTAAAAGAAACTTTTCCAAACTCTGCTCCTGATCCATACAGCACCGAGCTTGGAATGCAAGGGCATAATGAACTCTGACACTATGGACTCTGGAGAAATCATTCCCTTGTAGCTTCTTGCAACTTATCCACTTTGATTTATGCACCACAACCCACATGAAATTTCATCAAAAATAAGCAAACAAAAACACTGCTCTTTCTCTACTTGCATGTAGTACCAGAGCAACATGTTAAGCAAAAGGGTGGTAAGACATACTGAACCGCTGATTATGCACTTGATTTTGTTATCAAATATGTGACATCTGCAAGCGGGATCTGAAGGCCTGAGGAATGGACCTCAACAGATGGGGAAACCCTGACATCTGAGCATTCAGCCTGGAGGCAGGCGGTGCAGCATGGCCTCTCCCAATTTGAAGAGACCCTTGTCCAGCAGGCGGAGGCAAAGAGGAAGTCACAAAAGCAGCAAAATCAGGGAGCTGGACAGGGGACAGATTGTATTTGTCTTCAGTGTGGAAGAGATTGTCACTCTTGAATTGGCCTCCTCAGCGACACTAGATGCTGTTTCAAGACCTCTATTCAGAGGGTGTTACCATAGTCTTTCGAGACTGAAGGATGCCTAACTAACACAATGAGCATAATGTTAATTAGTAGCAATTTGCTATTATAACTTAAGCAAGCATAATTCAACAATTAAATTTGGACCAAGCTCCCAACCCTAGATCCCCAGGTGATTTTGAACTACAGCTCCCAGAAATCCTGACCAGCAGTGCTGGTAGTAAAGGCTGTTGGAGTTTTAGTCCAAGAACATCTGGGGACTCAGATTTGGGACCCACTGTTCTAACTGGTGGCTCTTAGGATTCAAGGACAAGACAAAACACACACATACGATTCTGAGAATTTACCATCTCTGTTCTTCAAAGCACAACAGTTTTCGATTCAAAGAAATGAGGAGTCTTTCGAAAGACATCTCAAAATATAAGAAAAGCCCCAGTGGATCAGACTAAAGTCTTGCATGGTGTCCCACCAGCTGTCTTCGGGAAGGTCATAAGCAGGATGTGAAAACAATCCCTGGCAATGAGGACTCAAACACACAGCCATCATGACCAGCAGCCATTAACACCATTAGTCTCCAGGAATGGGGACTCAAGTCGCAGAACTTGCTGTCAAGTCAGACTTAAGCAACACCAGTGACTAGATTCGGACTCAGCTGTTGTCTCTCCTGCTCCCCCCCCCAAAAATGACTCAGACTCAACTTGTGACTCAGAAGCCACCCAGCCCTCCTTTTTCCCCCTGGGGAAAAAGGGCTTGTTTTTAATAGGAACAACTTTGGGGTTAGGACTTGGTACCAACGGCTTGGACTCAGGACTTGGTGTCAAAGACTCACACTCAAACTTGGGACACAGACCCAAAGACATGCCAATGTCCCTGTTAGTCTTCAAGAGTTCAGTGCTTTAGGACTGAAAATTATTCATTTATTGGCTGTTTTTCATAGATTAAAGCAACCAAAAAGTAGTTTCCAAGAAAGTTTTGTGGCATCTTAAAGACCAGCAAACTGATTGTGAGTTGAGATCATTAAATACATGAAGTGCCATCCTGAATGGGCTGGTTTGCATCCACTGGTGCAGAGGAGGAAAACCAGGTCAGAAAAAAAAATGCAACGTCTCTATATCTATACCCACAGGCTGTGATAATTCTGCTAAACCTTCGATGTGTGAACACTGATGAATCAGAACAAATGCTCAGTGACAAAACGGGGTTGATGGTGATGCAAACGTGATGCTTATGACCACAGATTTTGCTGACGTAGCAAGAGCAAGCAACCAATAGCTTTAAAAGAGGGTTAGATCAATTCATGAATAGAATCCCATTGGCTAACATTCCCAGTCATTTTGTTACCTTTAGGACTAGAAGTACAGTAGCTTCTGTAGGCGTTCTTGGGGAGGAACCGCAAGACAGGGTGTGGCCACCACATCCTTCTATTGGGCTTCTCCAAGGCATCTGTTTGGCCTCTGTGGGAAGCTTGCTAGACCATGGAGGCCTTTGATCTGATGCACTAGGGGGTGTTCTGATGAGCTCTTGAAAACCCACTAACTTATGATAAAAATTGGACTACAAAAATGTGTGCCATTATACTTGGTTCTTAATTGTTTTAGCGACAATAAAATTACCTGCCTATGGCTCTGGAAACTCATTGCTTAATTTCCAAATGGGAAGTCAAAGATAAGCTCCATCTTGTATATCCACCAAGAAGTTGGCAGACTTCTCTATCACATCTGTGGGTCTGGAAACAAATGGTAACACTAATTGGGAAGTCTCAGAGAAAAGGTGTGTTTCCCCATGTTCTCACGTGGGGGGGCATACCTTCCAAATTTCACAGAAAAGAAAGCTAGGCCTGGGTTTCTCGATCTTTTGCTGGAAATGATGTGTCAACAGAAGTGTAGAAGGAAAGACTGCTGAGTGCCTGAACCCCATGAAACGTAACCCCACAAATGTTAGGAACTCTGCTAGATCTGTCATAAGGAGGGCCTGACCTTCAAAATGTATCACTGCCATCAGAGCAGTGGTCCCCAACCTTGGGCCTCCAGATGTTCTTGGACTTCAAGTCCTAGAAATCCTGGCCAGCAGAGGTGGTGGTGAAGGCTTCTGGGAGTTGTAGTTCAATAACATCTGGAGGCCCAAGGTTGAGGACCGCTGCGTTAGAGTTCATCTATTGGAGGTAAAAAAGGCTTCTTTGAAACATCTGCTCTGGCATCACCCGATGACACCTGGAGATCCTGCTCAGCAGCCCCACCTTCAACAAACCCAGCCCCATTTTTGCCATGGGTCAGTCTCAAGGGTGATGATGACGCTCCACAGAAGATCCTCCGTTGGTGGCAGTGGCACAGGGGAAGTGCAACACCACTTAGCGGGCAGCCGAAAGAGAAGCCAGGCACCAGCCCAAGGGCCACTCCCAAGGTGATGCGGCCGAGCTGGGGCAGGGGCTATGGAGAGGCAAGGGCAGGTGGGTCCTCGGGGCGGCCAGCAGCAAGGCCATTACCTGCTTTCCTCAGCTTCTTGTTCTTGTAGACCGACAGGATCACCAGGAGGTTGCCCAGGATGTCCACGGCAATGGTCACGATGAGGAGGAGCGCAAGGAGGGTCATCACCCAAAGGGGGTAGAGGCCCCCTCCTCCTCTCAAACCGGAAGATCGGTTCTTGCGCAGCAACCCTTCCTCTTCCATTCTCACGGCTCTCTGGTGATGGGGATGATCCCGATCCCGTCCCACACCTTTTTTTTGGGGGGGGGGAGGAAAGCACATTAGGGTTCGTCTGAGGCAATCCCGGCCCAAGCGCTGTCACGGAACCATCCCGCTTCGGGAAGCCAGCGGGCCGGATCTCCGGCACCCGCGAAAGCGAACCGCGTGGCCTCGGGCGGAGCCAAACAAGGGGCCGAAAGCGGTGCCGCCGCCTGCGCGCAAAGTTTGCCGAGGAGTTGGCGGCGGCGGCGGCGGCGGCGGCGAGAGAAGCCCGTGGCCGGCGCTCCTCCTCGTCCACTTCTGGGATCTTTCGTTGCGTCCTCCACAATTCCGGGGCAAGAGGGTGGCCAGAGGGGGTCCCCCCTTCCCTCCCAAGACGGATCGCCGGCGTTGGGTGGCCGAAAGGAGGCGGCGGAGAGACACGCTCTCCTCCTCCTCCTCCTCGGGGGGCTCCGGGTCCGGGGCAGGCTGCCCAGAGAGACTATGCCGCGGCTGCCTTCCTCCATCCTCCAGCCGAGTCGGCTTCCTCCCAGGGCTCCCCCTGAGCCCG